TCATCGTAGTATATACCTTGTACAATAATGATGCAATTATAATGTCACGTTCTACCGCTCGAAATATTGACTGAGAATTGTAATGCTGGTGTATAGTATTGTTCAGCAGGCTATCTACTATCAAACTTGCTCTTCGTTCCAATCCAGCCAAATTATATGGACGATATATATGTAACCGACTGTATCTATGATGGTGACAACTAAGATACAAAGTTCGACAGGTAAAACCCCCTGGTGGATGAAATCATCTGCAATCTCAAAGTCAACAGCATCAGTTGACAGTTACAAACTGCCAGGGCACATTGGTTCCGTCATGGAGCTGTAGCGGATATAGGAAAATCAAAATACATTTTAATGGACAATAGAGTTAACCCACGAAGTTCCTCTCATGATGATGACCTGTTCTCCTGATGAAAATTTATCACTCGTTCATGACGCCGGCAGCGTGAGCAAAAGCTGAGAATAACCTGCCAAATGAGCCATTAGCGATATCTCACTAACTCCCTGCAAAACCACCATCTTGTTGTTCAGGTTCCGAGGGACGAGTTACTGTTGCACAGACGATTTGTTGCGACGTGCGCATTGGTGGAACAGATAAATATTTTTTATTCCTATTATTTGTCTGTGCTGAGGCTGATGAGAATAAACCGACTTGCCCTGGGAAGGCAATTCCAGCACCATGCGCCTTCGAGTCGATTGCTGGCAGGCTTCCTGGCAAAAGATCTTCCTGTTCCTGTTTAGAGCTGGTACGAACTTGACAGTGTTGGGCTTGAGGTTTAGCATCTGCTGTGTCTTCGAGATGGGCTTGTATCGTATCAATCGTACGTAGTATATAAAAGTGTTGCAGTAGCGCGTTGCATCTGTTTCACAACCAATTTGCTAAAATTTCGAGATTAGACGTAGTGTCTCATATTCAAAATGCACTCTATAGTTGCTCTGACGCGCGACATCTTAAATGACTTTCCGATGCTGATCACTGAATCACATATATTCAAACTAGGAATCCTCTCTGATAACTGTCGTATTAAGTGACGTGTATTTTGATGTACTAATACCTCCCGCTGTTCCTGCACTCGCCAAATGTACCAGTTGAATTGACACTTGCGGAACGCTGTTTTGATGGGGGACGTGCGACTTTCGTAATTTATAGTGGAAGATTCGGCAGCATGGCAATATTTTGTTCGATTCAACAATCATGACCACTGGCTTAGTAAGATTAACCCACCTCCTGACTCTGAACATCGGACATCACCGGCAATAGTATCCCGTGTTATACGTTAACTGCACTCTTCAAAGCGGCACCGGAAGTGCATCATTGATAATATATATTGGTGATGGAGGTGATGTTAGCTAGACGCAGGACTCCATGTCAACGTAATCAGTGAGAAGAGTTGCAGCTTTTGTACCGGGCAATTTATTTTACTTGATTGTCGAGTGATGGAAGAACTTCGTGCCAATGGTTGGTGGCGACTTGGGCAGTATCTTGACACTTATAGACCTGGATTTCACTTTATTGGCTCCGAGTTACAGTTTTCCTCTACATGACAATTCAAGTAGAAGATAGTACATTAGGCATGGGAGGACTTGGTTGGCCGGCTTGGAAATTCATCGTTCCTATGTAAGGCCAAACATCTGTATGTAACTCCCACCGCCACCTTTATGGAGATTGTTGTGATTTTTAACTATATATAGTCAACTATGGTCTTATAATATGTTCATCGATTCACTGATGAAGGACAACGTACGATCGTTTGACGGCTGAAAAGACGGGAATCAAGTATGCAAAGACGAACAATAGGCAAGCACGACTTACGTTTCTGTCAAGTCCTGACTGATCGTCTGCATTGCTTCCTTCACTAGTGAATGCACCACCTGTCTACGGAAATGGCCTAGTCAGCCTGAGTAAGGTGTGCCTCAGGGAAGGTTTTAGGATTGTCAACCCCGAAAAGTTCGAGTCTGTATTGAACTATGGAGGTCGGAGAAAACGTCGGCCACCACGCTGTTATCAGCGCGTTTTATAATACTCAGTAGCACTGGCATGGGCGCTCATGATAAACATTCGTTCGTATGTGCGCCTGTCCAAGTTATGGCGACTATTGGCAGGTAAATAGGCGACTCGGATAACGTTGTTGCCTTGTAAGTGACGTCAAAATGTGTCACGGACTCCGGCCATCAGGCCGTACCCGCACAGCCCACGAGTCGAAATTCGAGTCTAATAATACTATCAAAGCCGCTATAATCGCCAGTTGATCATCTGACGTTGAACCGACGAACTTGTGAAGCAGGTATCGCGGCGGTCGTACACTGTCCATACAAGCATCGCTGCGACTGTTTCGACATACAAACATGGCAGTGCTGAACGTCTGCCTTGACTGCAGGGACCGTACTGACAGTGACTGATGTGCCTCTGTCGTGCGCATTGCAATTTGGGTGCCTGCCCAGTGACAGCCTAGATATGTATCGTTGGAAAATCATGGTTACTCTGATTTTCCACGGTCATGCAATGAGTGACCTATTACCACTCCCAAATTGTTCGGCTCGCTCCCACATCAAGGTACGAGCAAAAACTTAGGTGAAGACCTCGCTCACCGCTCGGCAAGCATGGACCTACATAACAAGTCCATTATTATTTTCGCTCTTTTTCCTGTAAACGAGGCACAGAGAATTGTAGCTAGTATGCAACCCCTTTAACGTTAGTAGCAACTTCTACAGGGAGGAGCAGGGAGCACCGGTGAGGCTGCTGCTGAGGCTGGCCAGAAAATGTTGATATTTGAAAACTACCAAATTAGGACACGTTTTGGGCGGCAATAACCGCTTCGGGTAACTTTCGGGCGATAAAACCGATGTGTGTATGGTTTTATGCTCATATTTTCTTGCAAGGTCTCAGACTCTCAGTCGATTATCGTTTATCGAAGAACTTAGAACTAGTAGAGTTAAGCTTGGAGAGTCGAGTATTTTCTAGAGACTACTTACTAATCAGAGCTGACAAGGTTTTTTACGTTACACTGCTGGTACCTTGTTATCGCCACAGCTTGGCAGCCGAACAGTAGCGACACACTCGATTTTCCGTCTCGCCGTGCTCTAATCGGATTAAGACATTCCACACCTTCCACAATCAAGACTGTGAGGAGCGTTTTGGCCTGAGGTCGGTTCTTCCCATCTCAATGCGACAACTGGAAATGTGGTTTCCAGGCTCTAGATCTTTCCGCCAAAAACAGTGAATGTAGCATGGAATATTTTACGGGTATGTTACTGTGAGTATGTATATGTTTGAATCCATATCCTCACGCCATGTCATCTAGCGATTTCTTGTACTGTAACACCCACACATGTTGTAGAGAGAGAATGGGCCACACTGCGCGCTGCAGCAAGGTAGCCTCGCGTCTGTGGACGCTGTTCTGTTTCTGAAGCATGATGATGATATAAATCGTTAAAAGCGTGAGCACAACGGTGGCCACCGCATAGTGAGTGAGTGTTTGTGTCCCATTGTTGATCTCCATAACGTTCATCCCAAAGATAGACTGAGGACATACGCAATCAGAAATGATCTGTCCATAAGAATTCTATGCTTACCGCAATAAAACTCGCTGGTAGGAAGACTATCGTGAGGTATGTGAACCTCTGCATCCGCCTGCTGTCCTCAGTATTGACGATCGCAAATGCAAGTTCCATAGCATTCTTCAGCCGACTGCTCAGCATCTTCCGTCGCCTTTCCAGACGATCAATCTCGTTGAGTAGATTCTTGCATTCCTTCTTCATAAGTGCACCAGACTCCATACGCTCTTTTTTGGCGGCAACCTCCATGGCCGGATTGGGGTTCGTCTCGATAAACTTTACTGATACCTCAAAGCCATGGAGGAGTGATTGATAGTGTAAAAGACGCGCTTCAAGAACATGAAGGTCATGTGTGAGTGCGATATTGTCCAGATGCAGTACTTGTAATTCCTGGATGTGCTTGAGTAACATTACTTCCATGCTGCGCGAGAGCCACGTACCAGCTCGCCAACATAGCTGTACAGCGAATCAAGGGACTCGTCCCATTCATATAGCGCATACCATAAAAATGCGAGGAAGAGAAATGTCGGGTCTTTGGACTTGTCAAATATTTTTTGCCAGTACACACTTTTCCCCACGAGCTGTATGAGCGAGCGGAGGTGCTTCGCAGATGTTAGCTGCCCTGTAGATTCGGGATGATAGGATATGATAGTGCTTTCTTTCCCGCGGACCATGTGGATTGCGAGGAGATCAATGAAGAACATGTGGCCACCTAGCAAGGACATTTTAGCGTGAATGTATTGATGTGAGGACATGAATAGACATACCGCCTGTCGAAAAGGGAGCTTGGATATCGATCGGGGTATCTGCCGGAGGTAAATCAAATGACTATGGCAGGTGATGAACCACTCACTAGTCTTGGAATCCAATGGTTTAGGGTCAGTTGGCGATTGTGATTTCTGTTGTGATCGTAAAAATGGCAGGGTGATAGTGACATCTATTACTCACATTAGCCATGTGACTCAAAATGCAAGGTTTAGACTTACGATCTCCTTCTCCATGACGAGGCGCTTCCTGATATCGTGAGGGTATCCAATTGAGGGAGGACGTGAAAAAGAATGGTTCGATGTTGTATCTATGTATGAGGTCTCAGAGCATGTAGACGAGTAAAAGACGCCATATACCTTGTCCCTAGCATGCGCAAGACCGGTGACGTCAAATCATCCACAAACAACGTTCGCACTCGGATTCCCTCTGATCGCTACAAAACCCATCTTATTTAACAGACATACAAACTTTAACATGAGACTCGCTTTCTGCTCTAACATTTTCCAAAACTTATTCTGGGGGTCCTCAATCGGCACTTTTGTAGTACCATGGTCATTTTCCCCCATATCTGGGACGGTAAACCTCTTGGTGACGTCTTCGGAGTCACGCACATCCATCCAGTAAATAGTGCTAGATTTATTCTTTGAACATTTTTCGAACATCTCACTTCGCTGTACTGGATCTGCCGTCCAGTTCCTGAACTTGTTCTGAGGGTAGTCCAGCCAGGGCAGCGAGGGTTCATCCATGACGGTCGTATCACTGGCAGCCAAGTCAGAGTCGACATCCAAGTTCATCCATGGCCATGGTCCCGATGGTGCCGCATGTCGGTATCTGGGAAGAGTATAAATCGGTCAAACCAGAGAAACAAAGAGGACATGAACAAAACTTACATGGGATCAGGCACTACACGTAGCAAAGCTGTACCTTTTTTTATATCTCGAGGAGTATTAGAATGTTTTGTGTGGTGTGTCATGATGCGGCTGAGTTGGAGTCAGTTCATTCCCGCATGAATTCTGAATTTATATCTGGTTGTGGTATCATGTTAGCACACCAAGGAACTGATGAACACCATGCTTCAACCTGTCCTGTGCATTGTGCACGGGTCAGCAGCACGACTAACACATCAGATATGAGCGGCTATTGGCAAACCATTCCCACAAGAAGCACTCAGAAATCAGAACCTCCTGCAAAGAATCCTTTTGCCTAACCTCTTATCTTCATCCACTAACCTAGAAGGGCCTCAGTTATGAATGCACCCTGAGATACATGAGGTATCTGAGCGGCAAGTAGTCACCTTCTTCGTCTGAGCGCAATAGGCGCTCTGGAACGCGGTCAAGGTGTGGTGCTCCTTTCGAACGCGTACCGCATGAATTGAATAGGGCAGTAAGTTTCCACAAGAACAGCAACCAGGCCTCTGAACGCAACATTTCAAGATACTTTGAATTGAGAGCAGTGGAAAGTAATATGCACCTTGTTTTCCAAAAAAAATTGAAAGCCCCTTCGATCAAGGCCCTGCAGGCGTCAAAAACTAAAAGTGAGTTTGAACTTTACCGCAATTTAAAGAAGTTCCGACAGTCGCGTTGATGAGGCGTTTTTTGCCGAATATATCGCTTTGCTGCTCAGCGCTCACCCTGAATTGTACTCGCCTAATTGGACTACCAGTTCAACTCGAGCGCTACACTGACGCGCTTCAAGGTTATGGTACCTGTCCGTGGCAGCAGGACGGATGCAGATTCTCCGCTGCCTTCGCTCAACGAGTTTTCGGCTGCGAAACTGCTTCTAACCAAGACCAAAAGGACTGCAAGGAATGAGGAAGGCTAAAGACAAGCCGGACAAAGCTCAATTTTGATTAGGGACTGAGCTCCGGTGAACATGTGCATGGTATACAGCCTCAACGTCGATCATTTTTTGTATACCTAGTTTTATTCTACCGCTTCTGCTTGGTCTCTCAGTTTCCTACGGGAGGACTTACTTTCCCACGCACGATTTGGTAGAGAACTTTGAATGCTTTTGAACGGCACGTTTGTTGCAAAATACATACGTAAAAAAATATTAGTGACAGTGCAGTGAATGTTCCTTGACCCGCTCAGTGTTAGCTCAAAGAAGACGAGAGACGAGGGTACCGAGGATAGATCATAGCAGACAAAACCCTCCCCCACTACTGTGGGAGTCGGGAATAATGTATGTTGCTGTGTCGGCACTTTGCTGTCAGTTGCCATATGTGCAGTCCATCTAATAGGTGAAACTTCCGCGCTTGAAATGGAAATGGCTCTCCGACCAAAGAACCTGCTCATCATTGGTGGAGGACCATGCGGGCTCATAACGCTCCGTAACTGTCTTCACCACGGAACTTTCACCAAAGTCCAGCTCGTCGAAAGACGTGACGACGTAGGCGGCGTCTGGTACGTCCATCACGTACTCTAGCCCACCTAAAGTCTGCAGTACAAAACCATCCTACAAGGTATCAAAACCACGCCTCCAATTATCGCTCACGATGGTCCACACCCGCATACCCTGGTCTCATAGGCAATGTCATATCCGAGTTTCTCTCCTTCTCAGAACACCCTTTTCCGGCACCTCCCAGAGAACATCAGCCATTCCCTACGCTAGCAGAGACAAACGCCTACCTCAAGGAATTTGCGCGCCCGTTCATCGAGAACGGGCATATACGTTTAAGCTGCGAGGTCACTGGAGTGGAGGAGGTGGAGGGCGGTGGATGGACGGTCCGCATGAAAGATTGGAATAAAGGTGATCTGGTACTGGAAGAAACTTGGGATGCGGTGGTTATCGCTACGGTTTGGTTTGATAACCCCCATTTTCCAGATGTACCAGGTCTTCGAGAGTTGCAGCAGCAACAACACAACAAAGTCCAGCACGCCATCAATTGGACGGGTCCAGATGATGATCACAAGGGAAAGGTAAATTTTCCCTTCTTATATTCCATGAAAAACCAACATTCCTGTAGTGTGTCCTCGTCATCGGAAATGCAAATTCTGCAAACGAAATGGCCGCTCAGCTCGCGCCCGTAGCCCAAACACCAATATACAGATCCACCCGCCGAATTTCTGTATTTCCCTCCTTACCCGACACCCGCATTCAAGACATCGGCCCCGTCAGTCGCTACACTACCACCAACAACGACAAAATAACTGCGCATGTTCAAGATGGAACCGCCATCGAAAATATTGACATCGTCTTATTCGGAACAGGCTACTATCCGCATGTACCCTACCTTCGCGTCCTTCGCCCAGATCCGGACCCTCAGACCCACGCTCGCACACTTGTACCATTAACATCACGCACAACAGTACCCACCCGTATCCCTTCCCTCCACAACCAAATACTCTACGCCTACAACCCCACCCTCGCATTCATAGGCGCTCCCACCTCCTTTATCCCCTTCACCCTCGCAGACCTCACCAGCACCTGGCTCTCCCTTGCATGGTCAGGGCTGATCCAGATACCCCCTACTCCCAAAGCCAGACTCGTATACGAGCAAAGCCGCCTCCGTACCCTAGCAGAACAGCGCTCAGAATCTGACAACCCTTCCAACTTGATCAATTTTCATTTCTTGGGTCGCTATGAGATGGAGTATGCGAGAGGTCTCAGGGAGGATGTCGTGAGGGCGAATGAGGGGTTGGATAGGGTGCTTGCAAGATGGGATGACGAGCAGGATGAGAGACGGTTTGCAATGTATGCGACGAAGATGGAGAGTTTGTTCGTTTCTGCTGGCGTCGAGAGACTAATGCCGATAGATGACAATGCAACGTAGACTGAACTACCGACGTGATATAGTAAGTCCTTCTGAAGCAATGATGCCCAAGAAATGTATGCCTGTAATGGTATGACGGCGATTGCTATCTCGTCAGGAGAGAACAATGAAAGGATCATTGCCAGTGCCTGTCGCAGCTCTGACAACAACGTGTCTTGATGCAAGCAATGATATGAGGTACCTGAGTCGACACAACTCGTTTCTTTTGCAAGAAAATCGAGTGGGGCGAAAGAGTTCACAATGTTCTGGCGCCGGGATACATCTCAAGGATATCCGTCGAAAGGTTGTCAAGTGCATCTAGCGCAGCAAGGGACATCTGTGGAACAAAGCTGGTCTCGCAATCCGTAGTTGCAAGGCCACAATCTTTACAATTGAATATATGCACGAATAGTAAGTAGTAATAGATACGGAGACTATCATGAATCGGAGTACCGCTGGCACAATCGGCAACTGCAAGTTTTCAAACTCAGTGCTTTTTCTCTCCGAGATCGACCATCCTTATATAACTTAGCCAGGTTGGTCGAGCTTAACATGTCGCGACGTGCTACTCGTGCTACCGGCTCAATTTTGAATTGTCATGCAGACCTTGGCTCCTGTATCCTAAGGCGCGCGAGTGAGTTATGTGGTTGAATTTTTGGTTGCACATTGACCTGCTCATACTCACGTCAGGTTCACAAACCATGTCATAGCAGCAATCTGCATTTACTACGCAACTTGTTGTACATGATACATGCACCGACAAACTATTTCCAAAAACAACTGTACTGTACTGATCGGCTCTGAACTAGGTATTAGCATCATCAAAACAAAGCGAAGCTGCGAAAGCAGAAACATGACTCACTATCGCGACATGCCACTCGAGCTGCTGGATTCATTTTAAGCAGGCTAGGACCGCGTCCTGCAGACCAAATCTCCTCCCTAAGGGGCACAGGTGAGTCATGCGGTTGAATCCTTGTTACACAGCGACCTGCTCACATTAGCGGCACAAACCAAGTTATTGCAGCAATTGCCTGTTTCGCATAATTGTCCTACTTTTGCACATGCACTGACAGACATAGATGCTGTCAAAGCAACAACAACGGCGAGTAGGGAGAAACCCATTTTCTGTGCGAGGCGATACGGAATCATCTGGGGGGAATCTTGAATAACATCTCTGAGGATACTGTACAACGACAGTCAGCTTTTATATTCTGCGTATACTAATGGGCACGATTCCGATCTATTTGGCAAAATTTGTTATTGCTGTCAGGTGGCGGAATTTTGGTAGAACCTGCAGGAGCGTGTCCAATTGATTACGACCATTGCATCAGAACCTGCCGTCCCTGGAATCCTGTGGTGTTAGGAATATAATTCATAATATGTGGGTTCTCCCGTATGAATTATTGATTTGAACCGTCTCTGAATCCATCTCTTGACAGCACTTTACACTGTAATTTGGAAATCTAAATTGCTCCATTTATGCTATTTGCGTGCCGTTAGTAAAGAACAGCCGTTTTATTCTGTGACCCTTGCCTTGTTTCTACTGGCCGTGTCTGCCGTGGACATCATGCGACTGTTTCGCTGGCAGCTTCACTAAAGATTCATCTTTGTATTCAGTTTGCATTTCTGGCTAGCTTCGCTGATTGAGACTTGAGGCGACCCAAGGCCGCGTCAAGCGATGCAGTCTTGGTAAGGCTTCCGTGACATCGGCACACTGATGCTTGATGCAGAACGAGCTATTTCCAGTGAACTTACTGCAGCACAGCTCGGAAACAGAATTTGCTCAGTGCAGCTGCCGTGCTCTGGTTCTGCTTGACCCCCTAATTTGCTGATGATGACTGCCTTCAATTCCTCACCTGCAGAACCTCCCACCATTTCTCAGGGTCATAAAGCTGTTCAAGGGTACTGGGCAGCTCATGATCCGTTAATCATTGCCCCAGGTCTTGTGATTCGTGAGTCGGCATGCAGTACTAGGTTCTGGAGCTCCGTCTTTAGATTTTCCAACCTCATTCTAATGAATGTCGTAGCCATTAGCACTGGTAATGAAGGTCTCGGGTTGTGATATTCATTATCTCTACTTTTAGTGCACCCCCTCGAGCATATTAAGTACACCGGTTTGCACCAGCATGAGATATTAGATATACCGGAACCATCACCACAGCACCCCTCCCACACTTTTCATCCAGACAATCTACTCCAAGTACACCCAGGTAGTAGACACCCTATCCTCAACCTCACCAAACCCATGGAAAAGGAATGGAACACAAAACTCGCACATACCAGTAAAACACTACCAGAAGCAGTCTGCCAGTACCACCACAGATACTCAAGAGCACCTCCACCCAGCTTCGATAGATGGTACGTTACTCTCATCCCTTCAATCCTTGCTCTAAATCCCAGCAGGCGAGCTTACATCCAAGAGCACAACATCCAGCTCCCAGAGGGATATAACCTTGATCTCACTCCTTTCTGGGGTGTAAACCCTGCATGTCTGCAAGTAATCCAGCTCGCTTACAAAGGCCACAATACAGCTACATCCTCACTAAATCAGCCCCTTAAGGCCTCTCCACATCAGAAACAAATCACTCTGCAGATAAAGACACTTGCCAAGACTTATTAGTAGCTGTCAGCCAGCTCCTAAAGTTGATGAAGGGGTATGCAAGATGAGTTGTCGCTGTTTAGTGCTAGGTTAAGCCCTCATAATAGCCCAGATGTCTTCGTAACCCATGACATGAGGAGCAAGGTTGTTGAGGGAAAATGCACGTTCCTCCTCCCTCCAGGTGACCGATTCCACCTCAAACAGCGCTTAATGGATCTTGTTTCTTCTTCCTCTCACCCTGAGAAATGTACCACCGTGCACCCAAAAAGTATAGATGACATCCTCACTGGCCCTTCATTCCCCGATGGCGCCATGACGTGGACCCTCTAAAAATCAATCATGAATCCTGTGATGATGAATATAGTGTTCGCCGACAAACCGGGTCAGGGTGAGGTGGAGGTGTGTAAGGAGGTGGAGGAAAGGTGGGAGGGAAGGTGAAGGGTGTATTGTCTTTGATGTGAATCGTCTTCTTTTCTTTTCTATATAGTTTTTTTCCATGTGTTGCTAGGTGTAGTCTTTACTAACATGTTGACAAGTATAAGATCTAAATGAGATACTCAGAATTCGAGCGAGCATTCTGTGATGATGAAGAGTAAATTATCGATGCCTGTCAGCAGGTTGCGATACAATGGTCATAATCAATTGAACATGCTCCTGCAGGTTCTACTGGAATTTCCACCATCTGATAGCGATAACAAATTCTGTCAAATCGATCAGAATGGTACCCATTAGTATACGCAAGATATAAAAGCTGGCCTTCGTCCTACAGTGTTCCCCAATCCTCAGAGATATCATTCTGGATTCCCTCAGAAGATCCATATCATCTCGTACAGAAAATGTGTTTCTCCCTCCTCGCTGTTGTTGTTGCCTTGACAGCATCTATGTCTGTCAATGCATGTACCAATACACCTTGCAGATATGATGAAGAATGCTGCATGAACTGGACTTGTGAACTTGATGACGTGAGTATGAGCAGGTCGCGGTACAACCAGGATTCAACTACATGACTCGCCTGCGCGCCTTAGAATGGAAATATGACCTGCCAGCACAATATCTTGTAGGTATAATATATCAATGTCTAGTATTGTAGAAGGCTGGTGTTATATCAGAGCCTGTGGTCCATAAACCATGATGTATCACCTCCCTCACCTTTCTCGCTGCCTGTCCTGTGATGTATCACATAGACCATTGATATATTAGGCTCATCCTGTGATGTATCACCTTCAAAGCCTTTGAGGCTCACGTGATATATCACTTTTGGTCGTGTTTGAGGGCTCGTGTCATGTGATATATCACCTTCAAAGCCCTTGAGGCTCGCATGATATATCACTTTTGGTCGTGTTTGAGGGCTCGCGTCATGTGATATATCACCTTCAAAGCCCTTGAGGCTTGAGTGATATATCATGCGAGCCTCAAACACAACTGAAAGTGATACATCACACGAGCCCCAAATACAACTGAAAGTGATATATCACCTTCAAAGCCCTTGAAACTCACATGATATATCACTTACAGTTGTGTTACATCACCTTGGTATCGCCTTGCGTGATACATCACTTTCAAGCCTTTCGTGAATCATGATACATCACCTTTAAAGCTCTGGGCTCGCGTGATATATCACCTTCGGGGCTCACTGATTGATGTTTCCACCAATCACGAGCCAGGATCAAATAATTCAAATGATGTCATAGTTCTCTTGTTGCAGCCCGTCCGTTAAAACACAGAAATATAGTAGATTATATATTTGCCCTCATCATCCTCCATTGTAACCTCAAATCAAGTCATGACAGACACCTCAACGGACAGGGGAATGGGAGTTTGGCATTGGCAACTCGGAACGAAGATGGACTGCAAGAAGGGGAGCTTCTTGCCATGAAGGGTTGGCTGCCCACACGGATTTGATGTGTATGACCATCTGTTGACGTAGATTAGCCTGGCGCTGCGCATAAGCAAGAGCACCCTCTCCAGCCTGCAGTGAGTTAAAAGCACACCGCGGACCTTGCATGTCCCACCAGCCTGCCTGCCAGTCAAGAAATGCAATGATGTGGCACATTTCCTCCCGTAGTAGTTGCACTTCTTCCTCCCAGCGATGAGCTTGTGCTCATGCCTTACACCATTCAACATGTAGCGCTATAAAATGGCCAGGTCAGCAAGAAGCACCAGTCATTAGAGCCTACTTACAGTCCTGTAGCCCTAGCTCGTTGCTGTTAAAGCCCGAAGTCCTCCAGATCCATGATATACTTTGTTGTCCCACCGTTCGGCCATTGTCATGTTTGAGTGGGACGGCATCCCTTTGCTTGTCGAGTGGCTTGAGGCTCCTCTCTCAGTCATCGGTCTTACCTAGCCTTGCTGCCAGATTCACGAGTGCATCTCTAGTGGTAGAATACTTAAGTGATAAGGTGTCAATGCGATGTTCAGCATTGTTGATGATTCCGTTTGCTCGGGTATTTGCTCGCTGTCCCCGAATAAAGGTGTCCTTATACTTGTAAAGGTGGTATCACAGGTTAAGCATGGTGTGGAGGTCATTCAGCATGTCATATGCCTGAGCTTCACACAATTCCCACTCGTGTTTGAGCAAGCGATCATCACATGGCACTCGCTGGGGCAGAGAGGATGGCAGAAAAAGGCTGATGTTGTGGGCCTTCGTTTCAGTGGCAATGTCATCTGGTGACTGCAGGCGGGAGACACTAGGCATATACAACACCTGCACCCGGGCCCAGGTGTCAATGCATTGGCGAAGAGCATTCATGCGCTGTAAGATCTTGCCCTTCTGGACATCTGTAGTGTGGTGTCCAATTGCCTTGGCATCAAAGCCAAGATGGTGCCTAGAATAGAGTCAGTGCGTGATTCAATACATCCAGAAATATACACTCAACTGCTGATCTTCGAGTTCTAATCCCGACGAAATTAACACAGAGGGTGATATATCATCGTGTAGGGACATGTTGTTGCCACGCTCAATCTCTGCAGCCTCAGCCATCGATAAGGCTAGGCGCACGGCAGCCTGAGTCATTGCTATTGAAAATGCCATCAGCTTCTCAAAATGTGTCAATATAGAGTACACGTACTAGTCATAGCTCTGCCTTCAAACGGTGACCTGCACCAAACTGGTTCGGTGCATGGACGTCCAATACTCTCTCATGAGTCATATACCCTGAAATACCACTATGAAACCCTTTTCCCTTTTATCTGAAGTTGGACTGAGGCTAAGGGAATATTTTTTGCTTTTCTTTTTATTTTTTTCAAGTCTATATGCCAGCAGCCTGAATATTTTAGTACATTTAATTCTGCGATGAGTTTTGCTTAGTCAGCCATGGTGATGACCCAGACAAAATCCCACACATGTCAGGTGACTGTGAAAAATATTTCCCACATATGTTGTCCTGGAAAAACATTAGTAAACCCCTAAATACTAGGCTCGCGTCATTCTCACCCTTCAAACAAAGCAAAGCAAAGACAGCCACACACAGGATTCATATCATGTGACACTTCTTACTCTCCTTCTGGATTTGTCATCAGGGGTTGGACAGGTCACATGACTTAGCAAAATACCCAATGACTCACTATGACTCACTCTAAAATACTTACTATGACTCACTATGACTCACCTTGCACATATGACTCATTATGACTCTTGATGACTCTTGAATACACTAGTAGCACAGCCACATTTATTGTGTATATAATGACCCCAGTTTTTGAAATAATAAAAAAAAGCAGATACCAGCAGGTAGTAGGGTGTTTCTCAGCCCAACTAACACTAAGTTGTGAAGTAAGGTGTGATAAGTGTCAGTACCAGTGTCAAGAACTGTTTCAAGACTGAGAGGAACACTCTCAAGAGACAGTAATACTGCAAGCTCATCATACTGAACGACCCGCTGTGAGCTCACTGTGTGCAACAACCAGCAAGCAAGGTACAGCCACACTTTTATTCTGATTTCTATTATTCTTTTTCTTTTCTTTTACTTTCACCAACCTTTGGTGGTCTTTGTCCAGAAATATATTTCCAAAATATTTGTGTTGTCTCTACGTCCACCTAAGACTCAGAAGTAGCATAGTGGGGAGACTTTAGGAATTGATAGTGAAGCTTGACCTCACTCATCTGAGTAGCGATACTGAGCCAAGATATTCTGTGCCTGCTAGGCTTTAGCCATTGAAGAGGGGACTTGGTAGTAAACCCAAGGACGTCCGTTCCTGAGTCTGTTTGAATACTCAAAGAAGAGTTCCTTGACAGCAGGTTCAATATTGAGCTAAGAGTTCTACAATAAAGCATTTGATTAGTCTTGACCTTTGATTCTACCTGTTTTGTGCTGAGGGGGTTTATCATTGTAATTCTGCACCATTTCTTTGGAGTATAGTTGGTACGAGGCACTGTTGTTGAAAGGGAACTTGAGGAAGAAACCCATATATTCTTTCGGTCATCGCCATACTGTCGGGCTGACCATTGTTTGTTTGTTTTCCTGTCAAGTCCAAAGATTGGATTGACCATTGTATTACTGATCTTGCAGAAGTATCCTTAGCTGAACATACCTTGGGTAGTATACAACTAGCCACCCATGAACGACCACGTTATCAGTCATTGGTATTTGTCTGAATCGCTGACCGTGGAGATATTTGTTTTTATAGGTGTTTATCTATAGATCATCTATCTAAGAAGACAACGGGTTCGGTTGTGAACGGTCTGCCTCCCATGCTTCGATGTCCCTCCTCCATTCAACTAACTCATCTGCAGCTAGGAAGCTTCAAAATCAATGAGATCGTCGGCACGTTCTTGCACCTCAATTAATGCAAAGTTGTACTTTTGGCGGAAAATCAAACCTAAGAGACAGTGATACTTTAGATTCAGATGTTCAAGGCAAAAAACTTACCCATTGCACAGATCTTCTTCCAGTTCCAGTCATTGAAGTGGTCATCTAAGGTGTCGCGCCTCGAACCGGGACCCATTTTGTGTGTGCTTGTCGCAATGGGGTTTATGTCGGCCCAGCCACGCTCGGGAGCTTCACCGTCCGTGCGACCAACACCCTTGATGAAATTGAAGGAAAAGTTTGACTGACATTTGGCCACATGGGCCGGCAGGTGGAATTTCGGTATGAGAAATGTGATTGACTTTTGGTCGTGCTTGATGTGGTACTGGTGTGGGAAGGCGGACATTCGTGTCCAGAGATGTTTGCTCCATTGACAAGCAATATCGTATGAGATGTTCAATGTCGATATCTCCGATGAAGACTGCATGCTCGAGAAGAATAAATAATCCATGTTAAGGTACCTATAAGTTCTGTTGTTAGCAATACAGCAAGAATGTGGAATGTTGCGCACCTTTCGCCCTTCTGTAGGTCACCGACTGAGCAGGGCCGTTTGAAATTGTGTCTTGCGCAATCGATAGTACTGGCACCAGTGGCTGCAAGGCCACGTGAGACTCTCGAATCTGCAAGGTTGACCGCGTTGTGACTGGAGCATGAACTCAACTACAGAGAGTTAGACTTAGTGCTCACGAGAAATAAAAGTTGAATTTACCTCCTGGACGACTCGCTCGCATGAACCAATGAAATCTTTATATGCATGTTCCTCCACAAAAAACACATATCCACGATTGAGACCCGGATCAACAATGTCCGAAGAGACATTATGGCGAGCGAGACGGAAATTGGTGTCGATGGCAAGGAATAAGGCATATAAAAATCTGGGACTGTGTGAGAAAAAGTCAGGTGGAAAGGTGGCATTATACATGCCGTATTTCGGATGGTGCATTTTCCCATCCATCTGGTAAGTTTTTGCCTGCATGGGGACATGCAGGACACAAAATGGCGCAGGCACCTGGTTTAGTTGCACCAATACCATCAGGGTGATGACTTTGACTAGCACATTTCATCTGCTTGATGAAGCGCCACTCTCGCATCATGCGTAACAATGCCTCATAACAATCCTAGATTGTGATATGATAAATTGAAATAATAATAGAATTAGCACGTACCTTTGGTATATGAATTCCAGTATTGTCCGTCAAACGAGCAGCTGTTTTGTAGAATTCAAAAGTGGAGACTTTGGACTCAAAAGACAGCATCTGAAAGTATTCCAGTGCTTGAAATGTTGCAGCTGTTTTTGGATCGACTGTTGTGGCAGGAAAGAGGCGAACACGTAGTAGTTGAATTATGTGCAGTTCGGCATGTGCACATCCACAAAAATCTAACCCTACTTCGTAGATGCCGTTGTAGTCGATGATAACAAAGTCGTTGTTGTGAGCAGGGAGTGGGTTGATGCACTGAACACCAGAAGCATGTCCAAGTTGTAGACGGATCCCCATGGACTTCAAGGTAAAGCTGTAAAATGAGATACCATCCCATCACTAAGTTCAAAGTGCAAAAGAGTCAGTCTATGTAAGAAATGTAAAGTATATATACACGTACCTCCATTCTATGAAGCGGATGTCTGTCATGTATGCGGATCATGCACAAATGACAAAATAATTCGCAACCATGACAATCCTGACAACAATATGTTACTGCTTCCTCACCGCAAACACAAATGTCTTGTGAATAGTCACCTCGACCCTCCAGGCAGAGGAATTCCTCCAAAAACAAGTCGGAATCAGATCGCCATAAACGCAAGACCTCACCCTGAACCCCAGTACGTTTTGGTTTAGTGAATTCCACAAGCTCCAAAGTGTCACTCTGAAGGTTATCAGAAAAGTCATTGATAATTGAAAGGTTGAGATCCGTGGTGTCTAATGGAACATCTGATTCTCCACGATGTCGTTTACCTGGAGAGTTAGGAACTGTATAGTAAGATGAAGAGACATTTAGACATCCACTTGGTCCTGCTTCAAAACTGCTGTGCTTGCGTTGTTGAGCATTGCAAGTGTGTTGAGGTGCGTCATTTATATCGTTAATCACTGCTTTTGAAGCAGCAGCGTTGTGTGCATAGAAATAGTGCTGGTAGTGCTTCAGGTTTCGCTGTCTTTGACCTCCGACCATTCAAGTTCAAGTCAGATACAGTGTTATAGTAGTAAGTCAACAATTCAGTCGTGTGATGATGTAATTCTAAAAACTACCTGATATATCAACTTAGTATTGTCTGCCAACTGAGTGAGTCAGTAAGCATTGCCTCATTGTAAGCTTCAACACCCCCGTCATCTATTATTGATATGATTTCCCTTTCTACTGCAAGCCGTCTCCCCATCAAGTCAATTAGTTCCTGGCTCTGTTTCAATAAGAGCTGATAACCGGTCCCAGACGTACATCTGAGTTGTCGCACCGCTTCATGTAATTCAGTAGCACACTCATGCAAATTCAGCACTACGATCGAGGAATCGTCCAACTCAGGGCGCAGCAGAGTCCAACCTTCGACATCTACTCTCTGAAGCACTGCAATAACACGAGATTGCATGGTGTTTGCCTCAGGAACACCGGACCTGTACCCTAGCTTGTCACTCAATCGGTCCAAGGTGGAAAACAACGCGATGACATCCTGTTTGAAAGTGTACAATGGTAGATAAATTGTATATATAGTGTATATCGAGGGAATACATACATCATTGAAATGAGAACGTGTTCACCAACGTGTTTGAGACTTCGCCTGTTCTGTAGTCTTATTTCTAAAGGAAGAATAAAATTTATTGTGAGTATGATGATAGACTCAGAGTGATGAACTCTGACCGTTGATAATGTGCTCGTTTGCTTTGCAATCGAGCTTTGCGCCGTTCTTCTGCAGTTTTATACCGTGGTGCCATTGTGATAGCGATGGGAGACTAGTAGTTAGGCTAGTACTGTACTAGTATTACACAATAACTCACTGTACAGTTTGGTGTTATGCGAGCCTTACTTCGGGACAGATGAAATGTGCATGTACATAGGCAACATTCAATCCAAATAAAACGAATTAAATTCTGCACTGCGTGTTATATGTCAGTATCACTGCACAAGTTGATAAACAGGCAAATCTAAAGCAAACCATTGCAGTAGATATTCACCAGACACGACTGCAGAATGTGTTCGGGCTGTACATTTGACAGCATGATATATCATCATTGCACGCATCAGGGAAACGTAATTCAACTCCGTAATACGGAGTTGAATTACGTTTCCCTGATGCGCAAGTCTGATGTGCAAGTCTGATGATCAATCGTAGCATGTAGCACATTCGGCTGGAGCAAAAAGCTTATTGTGAGGCCTAGGCTATGACTCATTGAATATGTCCAATCTGAGTGCAAAGCTTATTGTATATGATATTGCCTGCGAGGTACAGATTGTTCATTAGGGATACCCCACAATATTTTGTCAAACACATATATCCATCTGGCGACGGAGTACATAGATTGTTCATTGGGGACACCCCACAATATTTTAGGTACATAGCAATAAGTACGTAGTGACAAGTAGCGACAAAAACAACTACATTTACATTAAACTGTCTCGCCATTCCACATTGCCAAAGCAAGACGGAAATGCTGCATGGCTTCATGGAGGGTGACAAAGTAATGGACTGTTGTACCTGGGGCACGAAGCATCCGGGCAGTAATTCTATGTATAGTTAGATGCGTTATGGACCGGAATCAATTTAAAAAATGCCTACATTTCGCTAAAGAGTCCTACACCAACAACACTGGTGGTTACGAACCAATCAAAATGGCTAGCAGGGTCAAGGTCAACGAGTGTCTCAGCGCTGGTGTCAGACTCCGCTTCATTATCCCCCTCATTAGGAGGAGGAGGACTCGAAACCATTATCGGCAAGGACCATCTCAGAGCCAATCCAAAGATCATCAATAGAGACATCTGAGGAATTGTCCTCGATGTCTGCAGAGTTGTCATCTGAACTATTCAAAACTGTGTAATTATGAGTAAAATGAAAGAAAAAACGAAGGCGAGTTCAACGTACCCCTTTGCGCATGGACTGGACATACCTGGTCTTCAGGTCGGCAAGGCCATGCGTATGGTCAAGGAGATGACGGGGAACTGTGTAAAATGTGAGGATGAGAAAATTCTTTGAGAATATCATAATAAAGACTTACCGTGACCGTTCTGCACCAAGTGAATAGCCTCGATGAATTGCTCCATTGTGAAACATGGGTGACGGAGCATCTGTACAGGTTGACTGTGGGGGCATCTGATGTTGGAGTGACTGTCGTTCATGTCAAGGAGAGACAGTAGGTGTAGAGATAATCAGGGTATCAGTTCGTGTGTAAACAAATACAGTATGATTGGTATTGCTTGGTTTGTGAAATATATCCTGAGTCATCAAAGATGAAAAAACTTCAAGGTCAAGTAAGGACCTGAGTGACAGTTCGGTTCATTATTGCACCTGTATACAAAACCAAGTAAAAAAATTGTCAGTGAGTGACATATGAAATACGAACGAATTGATACTCACCCAACATACAGATGGCGCCTCCCAGGTGGATGAGCGCAGAACAATTAATCTGGCTGCAGAATGAGCTGCCCAACTACTTACAGATGCAAAAGGAGAAGAAACTACCTTGATTTTTTGAGTCGCTGTTTCCGAGGTGGTTCAACGACTTTCCAGAAGAGATAGAGCTAAACAGCAGCCCACCTTGTGTCGAGAACACCAGTATTGATGAACATGGTGGAGCTCTTATCAACTCCGTTAACAAAACAGCCCAGCCTGATATTATAAATGAACCTGAATCCGCCGAACAAGAAGACAGCGAGTCAAACTCACGGCTGATGCAAGCAGGAGAACGGCGCAGAGTACGTGGTATTCACGTTGTCCTATTTATAATATATAATAGTTTTTCTTGGTTAGCAATTGCGGGAATGGTTTCGGAATAATTCTAAGGGAAAAACTACACCTGGCAGTAGCTCAACCGGTAAAGCCCTATCTGCACTACTTGGCCAGCGTGCGCGAGGCACTCGAAACCTCAAAGAAGTTGAAGTGTATTAAAAACTTCACTATGAGTCCAAAGTCAAACCATTGGTCTCTGACGCACTCAAAAATAATCCTGTACAACCTACACAAAGGCTAAGCGCAGTCCGGCAACACACCACTGATTGCTTTGCGGATGAGTCGGACGAAGTTAAGAAGGAAATTCGGGAGGAGACTGTATGTCTTAATGCTGCCAGAAGATTGGGTGATGTTGTGGGACAGGATTCACGAACAAAAGAAGAAGTTTATCAGTACGTGATGTACTTGATCAAAAATAGTGCTGATCACTTACAATTTAAAGTGCGATTCAAGAGCTACCAATCCTTCTAGGTCAAATCTTCGAGGACCTCTCAGTATTGATGGGTGGATGGCACTACACCCTTCTCATGGGTTGAGTCGACCCTTTGTGTGAAGGCAACATTATGACATTAAGGTGTGTTGTTTGCTCTTTGTTGTGCCAATTGCACGTGTTGATTCATCAATGCATCAATAGCTACCACCACGGTAAAACTGCAGATGGTCTGAGCTTCAAGGCATGTACGCCAAACTTCCATGAACAGTACCTATCACCATTTGAACGACACCTTGGATGCATCTATGGTAAGTGATTCCTGGCTATGTGACTCAAAATTATGATTAATGAAAATTTACCATGGGTGCATCTTCAAAGTCCACGCTGCCAGTGGCTCCCTCATCCACCCCAACCTCACCTCATCTTCCACCTGGCCTGATCTCACTAGAGGACGAGTCAACCTCACCCCATCTTCCACCTGGCCTGATCTCATTGGAGAACAAGTCCTTGGTCATAAATGTGCTTGATCCCTCTCTGGACTTCAATGCACTTGCAGGAACGAAAGAACATGGTGAGTGGTTGATGCGCACTGACTTGAACCCTATTACATTTGCTTATAACATGACAGATACACCAATCACTGCTTGGAGAAAGTCGACAGCATTTGATGAATACCTGCTAACTACATCATCCCCCACCTTTAATCGCACTCAATGGCCAGGTGTCAGCGTGGCGGATCCATCAGTCGAAGCTATTCCTCCTCTCATGTTTCATCCGTTGTCATCGTTTCACACCACCCTCTTGCCCCAGCCTGCTTCGCTCTTGGCTCAGCAAATGAATCAATTTTCTGCACTTGAGGAGGTCAATGGACTTTCCATGGAACTGCATGGCAATCCATTGCCATTCAACCAACCAATGTTCAATTTGGGGCCGCACACACCCCCAGACGCCCATATTCCATTGTCCTTGCTAATGACTATCACACCGTCACTCCTGTCTACATCCACACCACCCGAGTCAATTCATTTCAAGTCTACCGAACATCAACCCCTATCAGCTCCTCATCAACCATTGTCCATTGACTGGGCATCTTCTGCGGCTTCTCGCCAGCTGTCACCTTGTGACATCAGGGGAGTCTTGGCTGGTAAAACTCTCCAACCCAGTTTGGAGACAGGGACGGTGTCTTTGTTACCTGTTGTCTCTGCTGCCTCCAACAGACGCACCAAGCGCCCACCATGTCCTTCTACGGGAGCTGCTGAAGCCAACAAAATTGGTGTCAAGCAAGGAACAAAGCCTGCACCAAAGAGGAAGCAGACCGAAGTCCAGCGCAGTGGTGAGGGGTCGAAGAAAAAGTCTCGCAAGTAGATATATTGTAGTCTGTCATGTTTTTAATGTAGCTACCTGAACAATATATGAAGTGTGGAAGCCCACAGAGGTGATGGCCCTCATCAACAAGGGCATCCAGGATGTATGGAGTCGAGCCTTTGCGTTTTGATACCTCTTGACCCTCGATGTTCTGTTCAAGAGCGGCCATATAGTAGGGCTTGCGTTTACCACAAGACTTGCGATCTGCCTCAAAGATGTGAGGTTTAACCTGCAGCCCCGTCTTGCTCACATTGAGGCAGGTGGTAAACCTGCGCTGCAAACCATAAGGCGAGTACCATACCAATAGACTGGAAATTCTCACATGTATGCCAACCGAATGGCGGCAGCACTTGCATAGCCATGCTCATACACAGCGAGATCATGGAACTTCAAAGCAGATGATCTCAGCATATCTAGTAGTACTAGTACTTATCAACTTTTTTGTTTTTGCTTCGACTTATTTACTTGTGGGACTTGTGCCCTTGTGTGTCACTCGTTGTGGATTTTAATTTACAAAGCAAGTGAGATTAAGGAATGTGCTAGTAGGTCACCGGTGATATATCATTAAAATATACAAGTACTGCAGCCAGGGTAATCTATGATATATCATGTTCTACTGGGGGCATTAAGGTAGGAGATGATATATCATTGAAATATGCAAGTACAGCGGTTGGGGGAATATATGATATATTTTTGATATATCATGGCTCTACTGCTGGTATATCCTCAGTAAATAGGTGTTATATCACAGGTACTACTAGTAGTAGGTGATATATGCAAATACTGCAGCTGGGGAATATATGATATATCTTTGATATATCATGGCTCTATTGCTGGTATATCCTCAGTAAATAGGTGTTATATCACAGGTACTACTAGTAGTAGGTGATATATGCAAGTACTGCAGCCGGGGAATATATGATATATCTTTGATATATCATGGTTCTACTGCTGGTATATCCTCAGTAAATAGGTGTTATATCACAGCGCTATGATTGATGTATCATCTTCCCACACATTGTGTCATAAACCAGGATATATCACCTTCCTTCTACCATGACAGCAATATAATACATCATAATGACATTATCGCCTGCTGCCAGTAGGTTGAAAATCAAGCCGATAGCCCGAGAAGCACATCGCAACAGTGAGTCATGTTTCTGCTTTCGCTTTGGTATCACAGTTGATGGTGCAACTTGTTGGGAGTAGATCAGTACAGTTGCTTTTGGACAAATTTTCATACTGCCCGAACAATGCAGATGTTTGAACTTATTTGAAAATGACCGACCGTGTCTGGTTTTTCTTGTGGTCCAGTAAGCTTGAGTTGGGGAGGCTGTCGAAATGAGCGATCATTGTTGATGATGATTTATATTGGGAGGGAACGTACTTGGGCTGCGCAAATGATCTTGAATCTGTTCGTCTAATGTTAACGTTAGACTAGAAGGCTAGCTGGTAGATCTGTTTCTTTGTGTGAGCCAACGACTTGGAGACACCACTAGCCTAGATTGCTGATCGTGATTCATGACAGATGTGTTATTTTCTGGTATATAGTCGAAGCCCAAGTTTATATGGGAGCGTGTGTCATGATGAAGGTGGCAAAAGGAGGCAACACCTATATGCGGTACTTTCTATCAAAGGGTAGTGTGGAGAGCTCGAGAGTGATTTGACTCGAAGCTCCAGCCTGAGCGTACACCATCACGTGACCATCTTACTTCAGGGACGTCAGTTTTCATGTTCTATTGAATTCAATTGTGTTACAGTCGTTTGCATAAAGATTTTCAGTTGCGAAACCGCGCAACACGTGTTTGTATATATTTGTCACAGTATGAAATGGGTGGCCAAAGTCACGATACCAAGGTATTTTCCTGCTCTACAAATACATGTTGCGCGGTTTCGCAACTGAAAATCTTTATGCAAACGACTGTATAAGATCTGATTTACATCCCTGCGAATTTCAGGTACCCTCAAGTTCTGCGAGGTTCCCTCCTGAATTCTGCCTTAGACCAGGGGTGTACATCACAAATAAATGATAATATTCCTGATCGGATTTTCAAAATTTGTGCGGCTTAGCGGCGAAGTTGAAGTGTAATTATAGCCAAACATCCACCATCATGCCGACTCCCGAGTGCTCATACTCACATCAATTCTACAAATATAGCTTTGCGCAGCAATCTACATCTGTTTTGCATGTTGATGTAGATGCGCCATATGTGCTGACAGATATAGATGCGGTCAAAGCAACGACAACGGCGAGGAAGGAGAAACATGCGAGATGCTATGGATTCTTCTAAGGGAGATCTCAAATGATATCTCTGAGGATGGGGAAACGACGGCCAGCTTTTATATCTTCCGTATTCTCATGGGCACGATTCTGATTGATTTAGCAGAATTTGTTATTGCTGTCAGATGCCTGCAATAGCGTGTTTGATTGATTACGGGCATTGTATCATAACCTCCATTATCAGTGGGACTGAACACATTTGAAACACTCAGCAAAATAAGGCCAGACGTTCGACAACACAGCTTCATCAAAGCTGTGGAAGCTGGGAAGTCCACCTGCCGTCGACATGCTCACATGCACACTCGTGAACAAGTGGGGATTACTATTGAGACCGCACAGGATCTTCAAGCGTCTTTAGCGTGGATACCTTTGCTCTCGACCAAGATTCGTGATGTGGATGTCCTTTTTGGTCCAGAGAGTAGTATCTCCCCTGACGACGTTGCTACCGAATTTCTGGCTCCCGATGAGTTTGACTAAAGAAGTTCAAAGCATTAATGAAGTCAAAACGCTCCAAAGAATACTTTTGATTTCGATGAGTTTGACCAGGTTAAACAAGGAATAATACCACAGGCCATTCTAGATCAGATTGAGGTTGTCTAACTACAGTCACAAGCATGATGGTTGGAACGAGGTCACATCAATATTGTCATTGGGAACGTTTCACAATACCAGCCACAGACGCAACCCACCATCATTTGCGCGTCAAGTCTCTCCCATATCGTGCTGCATCAAGCTTCGTCGTGTCGGTGTCGCGTAAATCTTACCATCGCCTCGTTCGCAGAATGAACTGGTTATTCTTTCAAGACTAGCAGCACACAAATCGCACGAGTGAAGAAATTTGTATTTCTGAATTGCAAAGAGCGGAGTGCTGCCAGAGACGGTTCAAATGAGTGATTTATGCGAGGGGACTCACTCTGATGAACTACTATACTAACTATGGCCCCAGTACCTAATGGCAGGTTATGATATAAGGGTCGTAATTGGACACGCTCCTGCAGGTTCTACCGAAATTTCTGCCGTCTGACCTGATAGCAATAACAATTCTGCCAAATCGATCAGAGTCGTGCCCATAAATATAAAAAGCTTGCCGTCGTCCTACAGTGTTCCCCCATCCTCAGAGATACTATTGAAGATCCCCTCAGAATATTCCATATCACTTCGCACAGAAAATGCGTTTCTCCTTCGTCGCCATTGCTGCTGCTTTGACAGCATCTATGCATGTCAGTGCATGTAACACATATTGCCAATCAAATACAGATTGTTGCTCAAACATGGTTTGTGGACTTGACGTGAGTATGAGCAGGTCGCTGTGCAACCAGGATTCAACCGTATGACTCACCTGCGCGCCTTAGAATGGAGTTTTGACCTGCATATTGGTTGGAAATTGAGTCGGCAGTACGAAGGGCACGCGGGGACAGTACGTTATGCTTCTGCTTTCGCTTTGGTACCATGGTTGACAGTGCAATGCCTAGTTCGCAGTCAATCAGTACAGTTGTTTTGGGACAAGTTTTGGTATTGCTCGAGCAATGTGGATGTTTGAACTTATCTGAAAAACGATCGATTGTGCCTGATATTACTCGTGGTTCATTAAAGTTCAAGTGTTGCCGGAGCTCCAGCTAAAGCCATTTCTGGCATTATGGTTTGACCGGTCAACGATGTTAATTGGTTGACTACGCTACTATCTGCAATCGACATCCCCGTTACAACGACAAAGAGAAACTAGGAGACGAGCAACTCATAGTCAGCCAACTAAAATGACAATGCTATCCATGGGACCCACAAAATTATTAGCACATCTAAGCTTGATCTAGTTGGCCAGCATCAGTAAATGTCTCCCTGCCTTCATACCACGCTTGAAACCCATCGGGAAGGGATTGCATTTCCGGTGCATTCGTCGATAGGTATGTGGGGATGACCGATTGCTCCCTGTTCGCTTGAAGACTAAATAGTATTCGCGAAGCGAGAACGCTGTGCACAACAATCTGGGGTCTAAAATGTCGAATATGAGCTTTTGACGATATATATATATGACCAGGCTAACACGTTTAACATCTCGCTGTATGAGAGCTAAGGGTGTGCTCAGTTCTTCGAAGCCTACGTAATCAGAAAAAAGCTCACAGGGAACACAGAGATGACAATCACATTAAGAGTGGATACCACTATAGAGATGTCAGCACGAAAATCATAATAACAATGGTGTTAATACTTGTGATGCAGGACATGTAGAGGAGTCCATCGCCGTAGACACTTCTTATTAACGTGTTATGAAAACCAAAATAGTGCCGATATTTCACAAATACAGTGATGAGCATGAGAACTAGAAGTGAATCGTCAGAATAACATATTTGAATTAATCGCCACCTCACCAATCTCGAAGATCATCAAGAGTCCATACCCAAAAGCACTGCTACGAGCCCCCTCAAGCGTGCAAGGCGGGCCAGCTGGAAAAAATGAATATTAAGACCAAGAGGCGAACTTTAAGACCTCGCCTTCTGGGTTGCTGAAATGGATGGGGGCGGCACTTAGGACCACACACGTCACCATGATGGTCTGCACTATACGAGTTAGTGATGCACAAGGAAATAGAGACATCACTGCACCAAGCCAAAGGATAAAAGAACAATAAGATTGGCCTTTTTGTTGCCGGAGAAGGCATGAACCCTGGCGATCAACAGACCTGTCGTGAATGTGAATGCCCGATGCTAACATGGTATGCCAAAGCCAACCTTCCGAGGCAATGATGCCCACGAAATGTAAGCCTGTGAAATGTCGTCGTAAAGTCACATCATGAAAGCCGTCTGGACCGACCATTTACAGCATCGTTAAAAGGTGCACACTATATTTCAATGTGAGTTGTAGTCGATACTGCGCTGATAAAGGTTGTGCTCACATCTTGGGTGCCCCATGTCTTGACAGCGGCTGGTTAATAATCAGCTTTGCATTGTAGTGCACACCGCTGTATCTCACAATACGAGGTCATAAATGCACCAGCAAAAGGTACATATCGTGAAAGTGTGAAGGTAATGCGAATAATTCCCCACTTCCGTCCCCAAGTCCATTGGACCTACAAGAAAAATTAGCGACGAGACATGGATGGCTGATTCCACTGACTTCAGAATGTGACGTGATAAAGTAATCATAAATCTAGTGATACATGAGAATCATTATAAAGAGACTGGGACGATACGACTTACTAGGAGTGCTGATGCAGCGACTTCAGAGTAAAAGAGAGTTGTGAATAATGACAAGCACTGTCATCGGCCAACCTTACCGTTAGTATACTTTGGTAATTAGATGATGCATTAGAGGAGTCGGACTGCAAAAGCACAAATGAATTACCTTGGCTAATTGCAAACCGAAGGTGTTTGAGACTGACATTTTCGAGTGATACAACAGATGAATGGCAGGCTGTTAACAATAAGTACTGCAGCAGTATGCACTGCAACACAGTGCACTGCTGTGGTCGTAGATGACACGTAGCAACGGCTGTAAGTACAAAGAAATATAAGGCGCTCAAAACTGATGGTTATCTGATGATGCATGGATGATCATACATTGATGCGAGGCACTATGTCGCACTATGCTGTGATTGGAGCACAGCATGCATGATGGTCCAGAACTTGGAGATTGCCGCTGATAGCAGCTTACACCGCACACGGTGTACCAGAAGGAACGGCATTCAGAGATCTCATACAAAATAACCCGTCTGTCACGTGACGATGTAACGTCTCGCGATTGTTGGCTCCATCAAGAGATAGCAGCCAACGTTAGACGAACAGATTCAAGCTGTGCAGTGCGTTCCATCTTCGTACGACCTCCCAATATCAATTATTAACAGCAATAGCAATAGAGGCTTGTTTTGACAGCCTCTTGGAGTCAAGCTTCCGCGGGCAAGACTAGGCACGAATGATCATTTTCAGATAAATTCAAACATTCGAGCAGTACAAATTTTTTCCAAAAACAACCGTACTGATTAGCTCCGAACTAGGTATTGCCACACCCATCAACCATGATAACAAAGCGAAAGCCGAAACATGACTCACTGTCGCGACGTACCGCTCGGGCTGCCGGCTTAAATTTCAGCAGGCTGGTCGACTACGCAGATAAATTGGTTGTTCTAAGGGGCACAGGTGAGTCATGTGGTTGAATCCTTGTTACCTGCCTTGCTCACACAAGAAAGCTGCTCACAGCATTCCCATAGTTCGCATGATTTTCCTTTGGCCGCACACTCTGCACTGGCAGACATAGATGCTGTCAAAGCAACGACAACGGCGAGTAGGGAGAAACGCATTTCATGTACGATGTGATATGGGATCTTCTGAGGGGGGATCTCTATTCTCGAATGATATCTCTGAGGATGAAGGAACACTGTAGGACGACGACCAACTTTTATAATGCTTTTGGGCACGATTCTCATCGATTTGGCAGAACTGTTGTCACATGGACAAATTTCGGCGGAACTCGTGGTAGCATATTTGATTAACAGCGATCATCAAATCATAACCTGCCTGCAGGCATCGACGATTCTCTTCTTCGTAACCACAAAACCCTCGCTCGAATCACCAGTCTCGTCCTAACCCCTCACTCTTCGCTTCATCATTTGAACCTGCGCTGACCCTGCCAGTGCACCGACCAAGTCAAGAAGTAAACATCAGCCTCTTGAACTCAAGCTTAGTAGTGGACCGCGGGAACTGAACTGATTGGCTATGAACTGGGTATTGCACTATCAACCATGATATCACAGCGAAAGCAAAAACATGACTAACTGTCACGGCGTGCCACTCGGGCTGCCGGCTCAATTTGTCCCGCAGACCAAACTTCCTTGCTAAGGGGCGCAGGTGAGTCATGTGGTTGAATCCCTGCCACACAGCGACCTGATCATACTCACACTATCGACAACACAATACAAACCTAGGCAGCAAATGCTGCCTATGCAAGTTTCTCCCTCGGTCGCACACTGTGCACTGACAGACATAGATGCTGTCAAAGCAACGACAACAGCGAGTAGGCAGAAACGCATTTTATGTACGAGGTGATATGGGATCTTCTGAGGGGGATGAGGGAACACGACCAGCTTTTATATCCTGCATATGCTTATGGGCAAGATTCTCATCGATTTGGCAGAATGATTATCATCGTCACATGGGAGAAATTTCGGAGTGGAATCGATTAATGACGACCATTAAATCATAACCTGCCAGCAGACATCGACAATTATCTTCTTCGTAATCACAGAACGCTCGCTGGAATCATCGGCCTCAGTCATTGCGATATGTACTCGGTCGATATCTCTCTTACTCGTTGCTCCCTTATCTAGTACCTGCAATTCGCCTACGTCACTAGTAGGTCAGCGACTCTACAACTGCTGTGCAGAGATAATGGGGTACCTTTTGGAAACCGATACTGAGTCTCATTCGTAGCATGCGCTTGGTCGGAGATCCCTGGTACAGTAGTCATGGTACAGCTCGTTCTACAGTTTTAGACAACACGACGATATCAAGTTATCCCATGGCAAACCCCGATGACCATACACTTCCCTGGACAAAAGGAACAGCGTCGACGGAATTAGTAACTATCAACTAACGCACTGCCAAGTTCCTCTTCCTCATCATCTGTCCCTTGTACCCCATCCGACACTCGCTCGATAAAGAAAACTACTCCCCTTTAAATGTCAAGCACCGTATAGGCAGTACATTCATCATGACACGCGCCTGCAACTATCTCGAAATCCAGCTTCAAGTTAATAGATCAGGGTCAACCGACCACCCGGTTCTTGTTCTCGACCATCAGATATACAATTGGTATCCACGCTTCTCACTAGACGGGTATAAAATATGCGTACACAATAAACGCGCAGCCCGAGTGCACGCGGCGCATAGAGTAGCGTAAAGTACATCAATGACCAGCACCGGGATTGGTACAACGTGGGGTGGTGCGTGTGTGCGGTGTAGGAATAAGTACGTGATGAGGTATGAAAACACGCGTGGTGTGCGAGGTATAAACGTGTGTGCTGTGTCTACTATCTGAGACACGCAGAGATGCTGTTCTAGAAGTCTCTGTGACGAGACTTAATTGGGTCGTTCCATCGAAAAAGTAAGAGGTTTACGCACCGACTCGAATCTGAACCCTATGACTCCAACTCGAAATTAAGTGAATCCCGATCCGAGTCCATGACTCTTGCGTACTCGAGAAATAATCTGAGGGATGTGGATAAGAATAAGAACAAGTCGACATTGCGCGCGAGATGGAATTCAACATCCAGCCCTTTGCGCGCACCACCCCACTCACCTATATAAATAAGCCACCATATCCTCCCTCCTCCAAAAACTCAAACTCCACTCCCTCCCTCTCCTCGCAATCTTCTTTGCAAGGTCTTCATGTGCACCATGCCCGCTCGGGTCCCCGCGGAAGAAGAGGAGCGAGTCGTACAGGTCCGAGTAGTCGACTTGAATGGGGACGTAGTGCACCCAGGGAGCGATACGGTGGGTGAACCTTTTTAGGTTGGGATTGTTGATTTTGGATTGGATGAGGGATTTTGTTGGGTAGAAGGAGGAAAGGAAATCGTTGAGGAAAATTAAAACACGAGAAGAAAAGGAAACGCACCATTCAGGATATACCGTAGACTTGAACACAACCGAATTACTCGTCATGAGTCTCTTGAACCGACTCGACCAGCCGTTCCCATCCACCTGCCAAAACATCAGTAAAACTAACACCCAGCAACGCAATAAACAAATAAGACAGGACTCACATCAAGGACATACTTGTACTTCACAGCCTCCTTAAAGCCCATCCTCCGCCGCCACTCCCACCTTTCCTCCACCTCCTTACACACCTCCTCCTCACACTGACCCGGTTTGCCAGCGAACGCTACATCCATCATCGCAGGGTTCACGATTGATTTCTTAAAGGTCTGCGTTACGACACCGTCGGGGGACGACGGATCGGTGACGAGAGCGTCTATGGTTTTTGGGTGGGCGGTGGTACGTTTCTCAAGGCCAGAGGAAGGAGAAGAAGAAACAAGATCCATCAAGCGTCCCCTCTGCGAATCCTTCCAAGGCTTCTCCTTCCCATGATGAATCCCCGTATTCAACCCCCTCCAAAGTAACCTCTCCTCATCCTTCTGCATCCACGCTTCTTCCAGGTCCCCTTCTTCTACACCCTCGACGTCATCCACCCAACTCAACATGATCGGGACCCTGATATCAGAATGCAATGGGCTACTGCAATAGCTGAACTGTGGGATTGGGAAGGGGTACGCGACGGGGCCGGGGCCGTGGCTCAGGAACTGGCCGTGCTGGGCGAGATGGGAAGGGTGAGCGCAGGGGTCCATGGCGAGGAGGTGGTCGTGGATGAATGTTCTGGGTTTTGGGGTATGTGGGGGTGGGGAGGGGGGTGGATTGCGTGCGACGCTGTTCAAGGGGCAGGCGTGCATCCAGCCACGGATGTACGGGGGTGGGTCTTGTGTTTGGAAGTCGAGTGCTTGTTCGGGTGCGTGTGAGAATTGGATATGGTTGGTAGGGAGAGAGGGAGTAACGTACATTTCCCCTTTTCCCCAGCCTCGACAACCTTTCTCCTCATGTCATGGGTGAGAAAGACATTTGGGTTGTCATGGGGGCTGAACACAGCTCTAAACAACGGCAACTCGTCTTGCACGCCCTTCAGCAAGTCTAGGAGCTGATTGGCGGCTACTAATAAGTTTTTGCGAGCGTCTTCGTCTGCGGGGAGTGACTCGTTTCCGATGTGGACAGGACCTGAGGTTGTTGATTTAGCGATGGTGTAGCTGTGCTGGTGACCTTCGTGAGCGAGCTGGATTTCTTGGAGCCGTGCAGGGTTTATACCCCAGAAAGGAGCGAGGTCGAGGTTGATCTGGTCGTACTCGTCTGGGAGCTGGACGTTGTGCTTTTGGACGTATGCCCACCTGTTTGGGGTTAGAGGAGGGTCTGAAGGGATGCGAGTAACGTACCATCTATCGAAGCCAGGTGGAGGTGCTCTGGAGTATCTGAGGTGGTACTCACGAACTGCTTCGGGAAGCGTTTTACTAGCGCGTGCGAGTTTTGCATCCCACTCTTTTTCTGCGTGTTCGATGAGGTCAAGGATGGGGTGTCTACCGCCTGGATGTACTTCGAGGAGACCGTCTGAGCGGAAAGTGTGGGAGGGGCGTTGTGGTGGTGGTTCAGGGTATAGGGTATCAGAGTCTAGATCCCATGGTGATCCTGTAGGTGCAGAGCGGTGTGCTTGATACACTCGAGGGAGGTATATACTAAAATTTGTAGGAAGGTTAGTACTGACCACTGAATGACTTGGTGTTAGGGTGAATACTACGAAAGTGGAAGCAAAGATGACCAGAAATATATAAGCTCTGAGTGATCTGCGAGTTATTCGGAATGGGGACATTGAGGACCATTAAAACGCGTTCATGGTGCATGTCCTTTAAGAACTCGGAACATTCGGAACTTAATCAATTCATCCCAGCATCCCCGTCAGGGTGATAAGCAGGCTTCACTTCAAATTAACTCGGATATAGTAGTGGTCTAGGCACTGGCTTCTTATAACGCCGCCATCACACGCGCGCCCGGTCACCGACAGTGTCGTAATTTGCTAGACACGAGAAAGGGAAAAAAATCGTTGACGTGATCGATTGCAGCCCAAGACGACTGCAGGGTCAAGGCACGCCATAGAAAACCCTTCAAGTCTTACGAAGAAGTTGACAAACTTCCTGGTAGTGAGGCAGGTATAGTGGGTACGTACTCCGTAATTGTCGTGGTCGCAAAAGAAGCTCATAAGTACGAGCGCATCCGAGTTTTGTACCGACGAGAGACTATGAGTTGAACAGTATTACCCCGCTAAGTTACCAACTCTGGAGGATTAGCCTCCAGAGTTTCTGTACCCTTATATCACATCTTGGCACGCATCGGTACACGTCACGGTGAGATCCTGTCCTAGCTTCGTACACGCTTGAATATTTCTCTTCCGAGTCTTCAGTGCAACAGCTGTCATGTCTGACACCAGAGGCATGAGACTCTTTTGACTGGCTCTCAGGCCGGAGACCCAGTCAAATAAGAGTCTGCCATCGCGACAGATGCGGCCGCAGACGTGTTCAGATTCATAAATATATGTTCGTATTGCCGATGCTGTCCATGCCATGATCATATACATGGAACTTTTCTGGTCTTTCAACTATATAGTCCCCGGTCCATTCCGAGCGCTCGTTCAACTTGGACCTCCCCCTTCCACTCTTAATGTTACTGGCAACTCATCGCTATCACTGAACATGACGGCCAGATAGTTCAATATTTGGCCGGCAGATACAGCTATCGCTATGACCAGGGCTGGCACTAGTATTACTCAATCATTAATCTGCAACCTGAATCTGAGTCGCACAGTTTACACGACACATACACTAAAGCGACCTGATAGGCCTTATGCAAGCTTCACTGGTTCCTTCTGGACCAAAAATCAAGGCCAGACCAGCATCTAAAAAAGTCGAGTTGGTCGACACCAAGTCGAAATCTGTTCTGATCAAGCTATATCTGGTATAGCTCAGTTGGACGATGTTCGGTTTACGGACAAGTCTTAGACTGTTACATCAGTGGTATTTCCCCGCATCGCCATCGCCGTAAGCTCACCGTAAGTTCCAAACTTCTATCTGAGAAGCGAAGGGTCTTTTGTTGATGGCAGACCATACCAGACTCAGCATTCCAGGTATCAATATCCAATTGCAATGTACGTAGGTGCCACCACGCTGATAACGAAGAACGGACTCCTCATACCGTGAGCGCATAGCGCTATCTTCATCACCGTTGGGTATCAGATCTCCTGACTTCTTCGATGTCTCGGTGGACATATATATAGGCAGGTAGCGGGTTTGAACACACCGTTGTCGTCAGTCTTGCTAAGAACACAACATATGGTAGAATAGAAACATTCATACAAGTGCGTTCCAAGGAAGACATGAAAACGATAAAGTCAATGAACAATAAGTCGCTCACGGCAAGTAATTCTTCTCCAGAGTCACAGCCTATTTAATGTCGTGAGTATGAACAAAAAGCGAGTTTGAATGATGTCGTTATTGGCGGGCGCCAGAAAGAAAGAAAAGGAGAAAAAGTCTATGGAGCGCATATAATCGATGAACATCTGATAAAAGTGACACAAGCCGGCAACAAAGACGAAGAGAAATACTGTCCGCATGATACTTTCAGCAAGACAGTAGCAAGCGGGAAGTAATCCTCTTCATCAAGCGAGCGACAATTAGGCACATTGGCGAGGAGCGTCGACACCACGAATGAACTGTCCTCGTCTTCATGTCCTAGTACGGGAGGACAACAGGGGAAGAGTGATGATTATGGTGTGGTGTCTAAGGCGGAGTGGGGCAGGTAAATGAAAAAAAAAACGTCAGTAGGTTTTGACCGAGCCCCATCAGAGGTTGTACGACATATCAACGAGAAGGAGCCTCGCTGCGCAGTTCCTTCATTATACCAGGGGGGGCTGTTCGAAAAAAGAAAAATAAGTGAGCGAAGAGAATGCTTCCAAATTCTAAAGAAAGGATCTGGTCTGGAGATAGAATTCCCTTCTTGACCGTGCCAAGGAGCCAGAGATGCGACGTGGTTTCGTATTAACTGTACAGTTCTCGGTCCATTCCGGTCAACGTTCGACCTCGCGCGCTGACCAAGCCTTTGCACTCGAAGGTCTCCTACCTTACTCCTACCACCGCCGAACGTTTGCTATCTTTGGGTGGTGGGTAGTGAACCAGCCACCGCTTACTCGATGATCCACAATCTCAAGACCCTGCATACATAAATCCGAGTCTTTCATACGATACGCGCAGCAAGCCGGCCAGCGAGGTTTTTGATAATTCAGGCCTGAATCTTTACCCGTTGTATATGCAACATTCTTCTGGCTCTGAAGCTTGCATATGGACCGAGTAAAGAAACAGAGAATCTCTATCTATCATGATGTATACTTTCTCCAAACGAGACAGCGCCGAATGGAGAGTCGAAGCAATTCTCTTCATCACTACTGAAGAATCCGACGCAAGGAACAGCCTACTATAACGGGAAGAACGTTTCTTTGATAAAACAAAGGCTTCAAAGAAGGTTGTCGTGGGGCACGGGGCGGCTCCGGAGCACGCAGGCTTGGCGCTGACCCCATTCACCTCTGATAATAGTATACCAGGGACTAAAACCCTGTATTTGTCCCACACGGACAGAGTCGAATGGGATTTCAGAGAACACATGCCGCTTTTACCATGCGGTAAATCATGCCCGCAAGAGCGGCAAGAATACGGTGACTCCTGACTCAGGAAGCAGTCGGAGGTTGTGCCACGTAAATATGCCATTGATAAGAAAGAATACGATTTTTTTTAAACTACAAGCAAGCGCATAGTCATGGCCCCTGGCCCCTGGGATATCTTAAGCTGTTCAGGCACCGTAGGGGAGTCGCAAGAGGAGACATGCCAGGAATAAGTCGGAGTAAACGCTGGAGGAAGTGGTCACTGGTGTTGATGGAAAAAATATGATGCTGCTTGGATCTGCTTTTGATTCTCGAAGCTTCTGAAGGTTCGATGTCACTGGCCAATCATGACACATTCATTGAATTTCTCACCCTTCACTTCCTAGCTCCATGGCAGCAGTTCACAATTTTGTGGGCTCGATCTTCACACAACAGCAATGATGTCAATCTAGCCTTGTCATCCACCAGAGTTTTAATGCCGAAGTTTGAGACGCTGGAATGGCAAAAGTGTTGGAAAGGTGTACAAAGAACGAGCGTGTGTTGAGTTTTCAGTTATATTTAACAGCACTATAGTCAAAAATAAGTTACGGGTCCGTATTATCCCACAGTTCTAGATGATCCACACAAGATGCTGTTTGGATCTGTTGAGCAAAGACCATCCTCGGGGCAACTGGCAGGTTTTCAATGACGTCCCCTGATTCGTTCGCTGCTAGTAGATTGAATAGGATGTGTGAGGCGAGAACACTGTGCATGACTGTCTGTGGGCTTTTCTGATTCAGCATCAGATATGGAATCAACTGTGATGGGGTTTACCCTGGCCCATAGAAACCACAAACAAATGATAACTGGGCAATCTGGTCAAAAACTTATCTCGAGGCTGAAGGCAACTTGAAGATACTCACAGGATGCACAAGCATGGTTAGCCAGTCCAACATTGAAAACACTGCAAATGAATGCTGTGATCTTGACAAGGATCTGTAAAGGACTCACGAGTAATGCACAGCATGTAAAATACACCATCCCGATATATAGCAGTAACCAACTGACCATTCTCCGTTCGGTGAAATTTGAAGCGTTTGTAGAGTGTCAGGAACATCAACACTAGCAGAGGATCGTGAGCGCTAAGCAGAATCATAGAAACACTACGTACCAAGCTGAAAGATTGTGTGCAAACCGTGAATGATGCTTTGTTGTCCTTCCCATGCGCCACACTGAGGATCTGGAATATGGGGTCAGTAGAAGGCAAATATGAAAAGGAAACACAATCTGACTTCCAGATTGATTCACGACAATAATTATAACTGTTAGCATAGCTGCCGTTGTGGCCTAAAATGATGTGTAATCTTTGAGCAACAAGAAAATGGCCAGGACGAAGGACCAAGGTCACCATGCCAAATGATGATATTGCGATCAAAATCCTCTTTTCGCCACCACAAAACGCATATGTCCTTGCCACAAGCAGCACTGGAAAAGAAGTCATGAGGGTAAAGCGACTTGACTTGGGGCTGATACTGACCGTCAGCAGCAGCAGAACCCAAGGTAGTCATGGCTAGCAAAACACATTGAGCGTTCAGAGCTTTGAAAGTTATTGAATACGCAACTGCCATCTACGACAATGAACATCCCAGGATTAGGCTGAAATATTGTCAGGTACTTGAATTCTGTCACAGAAACTCAAGCTTACAATTCCTCTTTGAAGTGACTGAACGTTGTCTATGGCAGGGACTTGTCAATAAAGAGCGAGAAGTAGACAGACGATCCTGAGTACTCACAATATCGGTACATAGCAACACTTGCAATCGGCAGATAGCGAGAAATGACAAAGGCTATCCTCATAATCTCCCATTTTCTCCCCCATGTCCAGCGAACCTGATATTATGTTAGTGTTTTCATGTGGCTATCGAACAGCACAAACCTCCGAGTCAAAAGTAATGCAGAAGTCGAACAGCTGGAAAAGAGTTTGGTCATTGTTCGACCATGTTATTCGTTGCTCCATACCAAAACCGCTGTGGACACAACTGTCATAGAAATTCAGTTGTGCAGGACAAACAACAACCCGACGAGCATAGACTACCTTCGACATACTGAATTCGAATAAGAAAATAAAGGATGGCAAGTGAAATAGGGTACGCACTGCCATAGTTTGACGTCCATTGAGATCCGCACACTGACCCATCCTGAGCGAACGAACTTGAAATAATGATCGTCTTCCTTTTATGTTGTCCGCTGAAGATAGTAGAGCTATGTGGGTGAGTATCATAGTCACATACTCCATCAGATGCACTGACAGGCTTACTATACTTACCTCATATGCAGCCTAAGTATATGGTAATTCCATCATCATCAAACGTTCCCGACTTGACATCTGTACCCCTGAGCTCATTACCTCAGAACCGCTGTGGTTGACAACGAGAACGGGGGTAGTCAGGGTTGATGAACCCCGCTTTTCCAGAGACTTCAGAGCATGTGATCCACATAAGTCCACATACCAATCAGTAAGATGATTGGCACAGCGGGCCCGGCATGGAAGTAGAGAAAGTTGGCGCAGTACAACCTCATTGAAAACCCGTCTCTCACGTGGCCTGGATCACGATTTTGAAACCTTATGGAAGAACAGCAAAAATGGGTAGAATAATTTCGAATGTTCAGCGTGTTACGCGTAAAGCAGTTGCTGCTGACAGGCGAGGGAACAAATGAATCATTGGGAACGACTGGATAACTTACACCTGGTAAGTATCCAAAGTAAATGCAAAATCACATGCATGCATAATTTCACACACCTCAATCTTGTCTCATGCGGTCAGTGCCGTTGATGAGCAACGATCCTGCAGGGGATGCGGGCAATCAGAGAAGCGATGCAGTTCTTTAGGATTCATCACGTTGATCATTACGTCGGAATGAGGAGTGCCTCATAACTTAAGAACGTAATGACAAAACGCTCGAAAACCTCGTCAGCTGTAAATTTGCCACGGACTACCCAGCAGGTAAGTTGGAGCTTCAAAACGGGCCTGGCACGGTCGATCAAAATATGAAAGCAATGAACATCAGTGATGTAAAGCACAAACGATCTAAATAATATGAGCATGGTATCTCCAACTCGATTCATGTGTCCTGGGTCCAATGCCATGGTATTGAAGACCAGCCACTGTCGACGTTGCAGAATGCGCATGCATGAGTGGGATCGAGCCGTAGAGGAGTCTGAGAGACATTTGAAGACGTCTGCGTTGTAGAGACGAAAGGGGTTTGTGTACCTGTTGTGTTTGGGAGGGAGAGGTTCGTGGCGGTTTGGGATCCTGTAGTAGATGTGGGCGTAGTTGGTGAAGGCTATGTTGAGGGAGAGAGATTTGGGCCTGTTGGCATTGAGTATCGCAGGCTCAGGAGTGATTCTCTTCACCGAGTGAGTGTTGGATGAGGTGCAAGGGACACGGACACAGTTGACGAGGAAGAGGAACTCCGAAGAACGCTGTACCTTGATAGTAGTGGCCGGCCAGCCGCGGTTAACACTATTACTTGGTTTCGAGGGAGTATAGAGTCGTTTGGGTATGCCATGGTCCAACTTGATACCGTCGTGATTGTCGGATGGGGGGAAAACATCAAGGGAGCTGTGGATGATGGAGAGAGATCAAAACGAGAAAACAGGAATTTCAAGCGAGGGGTTTGAGTTGGAGGTTGAGGATCATAGAATACAACAGTTGTTCTTTATCATCAGCATCAGCGTCGGAAGTATCGACGAAGCTTGAGTATTACTGTGACGCTAGTTGTTGATACTATCGGCTACCACAACTTCGGACAACCACCGGTTCGGACGGGCTCAGGTATTTTGCCGCATCACTGCCGCAACTTGCCGCACCACTAACGCATCACTGCCCCATCACACCGAAACCAACATTCAACGAACACTAGGGTCATCGGGGTTTGCCATGGAATAACTTGATACCGTCGTGGTTGTCTAAAACTATAGAGCGAGCTGTGATGGCTGTGGCCATGATTACTGTACCAGGGATCTTCGACCAAACGCATGCCAAGAATGAGAGTGAGTATCAATTTCCGAAAGATACCTCATTATCTCTGCGCAGCAAGTACTTGCAGGTCACTGGCCTACGAATGGCCCAGGTGAATTCCAGGTGCTACATGTAACGGAACAGCCAGTAAGCGAAAAATGACGCGAGATATCCACCGAGTACATATCAGAGGTATCGGCGGGAATGATGTTAAATTTTTGACTTTGTTGTTGTATTGCAGGGTCAGCGCAGGTTCAAATGATGAAGCGAAGGATGAGGTATTAGGACGAGACCGGCGAGTCGAGTAAGGGTTTTGTGGACACTCGACGCCTGCAGGCAGGCTATGAATTAATGGTCGTTGTTAATTGGATACGCCCCCGTAGGTTCTGCCAAAATTTGTTCCGTGTGACAACAGTTCTGCCAAATCGATGAGGATGGTGCCCATGAGCATATGCAGGATATAAAAGCTGGTCGTCGTCCTACAGTGTTCTCCCATATCATTCGAGATCCCCTTCAGAAGATTCCATATCATCTCGCACAGAAAATGCGTTTCTCCCTCCTCGCGGTTGTTGTTGCTTTGACAGCATCTATGTCTGTCAGTGCCGGATGTGGGACCAAGGGACAATTGTGCGGAAAAGGGAGTTGCTGCAAGCCCTTGACTTGTCTTGGCGACGGTGTAAGCAGGTCGCTGTGTAACAAGGATTCAACTGCATGACTCACGTGTGCCTCTTAGGGAGGAAATTTGGTCTGCCGCTAGCCTGCTTGAAATCAATCGGGCAGCCCGAGCGGCACATCGCGACAGTGAGTCATGTTTTTGCTTTCGCTTTGTTATCATGGTTGACAACGTTGATGGTGTAATACCTAGTTCAGAGCCAATCAGTACTAGATAGTCCCACGAGTTCGCGCGTCCCTAGAGTTCGCGCATTGGCTCTAGCACACGCAATTCTGCACGGAATCCTTATGTATGTTGTATATAGGTTTCTCCCAACATAATACACATGACCATGTAATTCTTTTGGCAAGAAATGAAGTGGATCTCGTGCCATGGTCGAGTTATAGGTGTTCGAGGCTCATTTTGTGCATAGATGACTCCCTCTGAAGGTCAGATCACCACGGAAAAATCTGGGATGCGATATGATGATTATACATGATTATAGAATGCTAAAATAAATTTCTCCGGGGCTACATGCTTGTCAGAATCATCTGCTGTGAATGAAATACAGCCCAGACGTGACAATCTATCCAAAGCGTTACAATGAGACTACACACATCTAAACTCCGCTGTGCCGAAATACGCTGCAGTCGACTTTCGAACGGTGCGGAATGTGAAACGGCACCGCGGCAGACGTGTGACATGGTGTGACGAAATGCGCGAACTCTAGGGAAACCTATGGCGCTATATCTGCACATTTATTATTTGCGCGTTCCGCGGCTTGCGCGCTGCGCGTTTTCGTCAATCCAGAGTGGGCGCGTTTTAATCAAGAGGTTCCGCATTCCCGCACTGCGCGTTTTCGCCAATCCAGAGCTGGCGCGTTTTGATTGGACTCAAAACTCGACTTGAAGTTTCCACCATGATAATTATGATCTCTACTTTCCTTCAAGCAATTTGAGACTCGGACCACTGCAGTATAGTATTTGTACTGGTACAAACATCACTCTATACAATTGAACACGACGAGTCTACGTCGTACGATGGATGAAGTCCTTGTGGTTGAACATGAGTAAAACTAACATGAGTACTAGTAAGACTATGGCGAAGGAGGCTCAGGCTCGAAAACCAGTTTCTCTACTAGGAAGCTGCAAGTCTCAGAAAGAAATTGTTCGGCGTGCTTGAATGCCGCTCCCTGATCGAGAATCTTGAACATGAGGTCTTTGCATCCTTCACTGACACATCCAAACTGCAGTTCCTTGAAGTGTTTGACAGTGTCGTCGTACGGCTGTGGATTCCTACCATCAAGAAGAAACCGGCCCATACCATTCCACCAAATTGCGTGCCAGTCCTCGTTGCAACCAGTTGGGTCTTGACACTCAGTGCAAGATCTGGCAAATACTGTGGAAAGTCGTGAACAGGTAAGCACTACCATCTGTGAGCATGCGAAACACACGTACCAACTCATTTTGATTAGCAACTAACTACATGGTACCATTGGCGGAAAAACCCTGCTCGCCTGGGCTGCACGAGTGGTGTTAAAGGAGCTTTGAAGTTCGACACTGTGTTAGCTGGTGGTGTAGAACTTAAGGGGACCCGGGCACCGCAAAAAATAGACATTTACTCCTATGAATACTATGGAGAAAAAGTCAAGGACACTGCAGACGCCGAAATCAGAGTACAGAATGTTACTGACCGCGGGCCAAAGCTGAATAAGCGCCGTGAGGTGTCTGTGTTCAAGTGAGTGATGCGTGATCAAGTTGATGAGGAAGTGCGCTTACCTAATATTATGAAGCTATCACGTTGGCGAACTTGAGAGTGGGGCACAGTTTGATCAGACTTACGCCAATTTTGATGTGGTGCAGGCTGCATTTCTAGCCTTCGTCAAAGACGCTCTCGGTATGTCAATATATGTAAGTGTCAGTTCAAAAGCATGCACTGACCTTTTCACTAGCATTTGAGTCGACACTGCCCCAAGACTCAGACACTGAGGAGGCAGAAGATTCATCATCAGACTCGCATGATGGTTCAGACGAGGAGTGGGCAAGCTGCCATTCCCTTGTTTTTGACGGAATCTGGGCCATCGACAGGCTCTCAGCCATTTCCATTGACTCAACTTGCTCAGTCCAATAGCCTCAGTGAGTTTTCCATTCGTGCTACTTGTTTAAAATTTAACCTGTGCTGTTGTTGCCAGAAACGGCGTCGTTTCATAGCAGTCCACTCGGAGTGCCAGCTGGTACTGCCATTCAATTCCTAAAGTCGAAGAGTGCATTATCGTCCCCACCTGAATTCGTGTCAGTCAGCGAGGCGGATGTCTTGTGTCGCAGTCGATCACACGTTGACGACCCTTTTGCACCGGAGCAGATCAATCCCTGGGATTCTCGCTATTCCATGAAGCCCGCTAACCTCCAGCTCATGTTAGGAGGGTCGGTTACCGTTTCCCAAACAATGTTTGACAAGTGACCAGGTCTAGTATTTGTTGATGACAGGCATGCTAATTTGGTACTAGTTTTTGTCATTTCTCGTGCGTTGCAGTACATACCATTATCTCATCCTCATCCTCATCTCATTTTGTGGGTCCATCAAAACAGTATGTATTTGAAGAAGAAAAACTATAATACTGCGTGAGCCGCTAAGTTAGCTCTGCACAACTTGAATGACTCGGTTAGTAGAGACTTGAACAAGCAAACGCGCAGTGCGGGAATGCGGAACCTCTTGATTAAAACACGCCCACTCTGGATTGACGAAAACGCGCAGCGCGCAAGCCGCGGAACGCGCAAATAATAAATGTGCAGATATAGCGCCATAGAAACCCGCACTTTTTTGTGCGGTAAGTCTCCGCTGGACTCAACACGTCGATTTTAAAAGAAAAAACTAGCAGGCCTTGTACTTTCGATGTCAGGCTATCCATCCGTCAAAAAATCGTATTTTTATGTGGATGTGTTGTAGAGTTATAGATGTTTTCCCAAAAATGCGCGAACTCTAGTGGACATCTAGTACTGAGTTACAGTTGTTTTTGGAAAAATTTCGCACTGCCCGAGCAATATTATGTAATATTTGTGAATGCTATGATCTGAATCCCAGTGAAAATCGACAAGAATGACGTAGATACGTGTAGATATAGATCGAAAAAAATATGAGGGAATGAAATTTTTCGTTATGTTTCGACCTCTTTAGAAAAGTGGGACTTTTCGAGACGAAAAACGATAGAGACCGAAACGAGCTTCGATACGATTTTAGTTGGTTTTAGATGGGTTTTAGATGCAAACATGTGCTGAAAATGTTCCAATTAGATGAGATGAATAGGTATCTAATGCCATTGAATGATGTATCTATAGGTATCGCTATGGTTAGGTAGTGGTATCGCTGCGCCCGCGCCCGCCTCCGCCATCCCGACATCCCGCCATCCCGCGCCCGCCATCCCGCCTCGTATCCATCCGCTACTCCTCGTCTGCATCATCGCCGGCGCCGTTCCTTTCAGTGGGTCCAGCCGAGCCGAGCTATAAGGCAAATCATTGTTAGTATGAAGATACTCGCGGATATCATGAAAACCACGCACCTGTAGAGCCGCTTTGTGCTTGTATACCTTCAATAATAGTGCTAGTCAGTAGATAAATGACATCAATACAAAAACGACATACCTCTTTGTCAGTCTTCGATAGACTGTTCCAGTAGGTTGCAAAGACGCTTGCCGGTTCTTTCTGATGGCCGTTCGATTGCCATTCGAGGGCACAAAGATTCCTATAATAATAATAGTGTTAGCCTTACTTGCTGTGACCGCAATAGATAAATCTTACCGCGCCGTGATCTTCGAGCTCACACGCATGGGCTTTGTGCTCGGCTGACGCTTCTTTGCAGGTTGGGCCTTCGAGTTGATTGCACCGGGAATGGGCTCCGTGGGGGTCGCTACCAGGAGTTCCATCTTGACAGCGAGGGAAGCTGCGTTGGTATCCGATGGGTCATTGGATGGAGGGGTGATGATAGTCGGCTCGGCGCTAGTCGTTCCAGAAGTGGCAGAGTCGATGGAGGCAGGAGCTTTCTTTGGGATTGGCTTGGGGCGAGGTTTGAAGACAAGATTAGAACTAAATTAATAGTATC